TTACATGGGCTTATTCGTAGCACCGATGCGCATCGATCTTTTAATATGAATCCATCTAATCTTCAACATTCCTCCAGCCCGAAAATACGAATTATCAGCTGGTATTCGATCATGTCGGCCGAACCAGCGTTCGCAGTGCTGGCGCACGAGTCTGCAAACACAAACATAGCAGCGGCGCTTGTGCGGGAAAGCCGGCGAAGCAGCCGCAGGCGCCCCGCCGATGCCATATACCGTGTCGGTTTGCCGATGGCGTCGCTAGGCTTACGACGAGTACGGCTAAACGACCGCCGGCGATCGCAACATGCGGCTAGCGTGAAATTTTCGTCGTCGTTATTTTATAGTCACAAATGAACAATAGGTAAGTGCCTCAAGTTCGCTGTGTCTTACGGAGTGATGTAGATATCTGTATACTTACAGCGACGAGACCGTTCGCAGGCACGGTTCTTTCATCGTGCTGGTAAGGCACAACCTGTGTACCGCTGGCCGCACGATTAGTCGTATCCGGGATCGCCTACACGTTGGATTTTTGATAACGATTGTCGCATAGATAAAAAGACTGAAGTTTGCCTGAGCTACTATTTTTGTGAACCTGTACGTGACGTTTCCTTCGCTTGTGCCGGCAACGCACTCACACCGGCAGCCCGCTTGATACCGATGACGTACGAAGTCTACTTTTTCTATATATCGCTTTGAACTTGTGATCGCTGTGTGGGTACACGACCGCTGATGAACAGCTTACCTTTATTAGCATTGTCAGTGTTCACCGTAGTTCGAACTTATTCAGCACATTAAAGCGAGTTCTCGGCATTGCCCGTGTTTGCGGAGACTTTCACTTGGCTTCGGCTCGCCCGTGCCGGCATGGTGGAAACGCGAGGGCACTTGCTGTGTGCACTGACAGCGTGTTGTACTACTTTCCTCTAATAACATCTTCTATTCGTTTCATAGTGCTTCGCTTTAACAGTGGCGTATAGGCTATTTAACTTGTTTTCATGATCGCCGATCACGCCGAGCATTGCAGTGCAGCATCGACCGGAGGCGATCGCGGCGCAGTTGCCCTCCCCGTTGGTCCATTCATTGCCGGGCGTTTGCGCAAGACACGCATTGTCACACATTTAGTCCCTGTTGGACAAACCGTTCGTCCATTGGTTTAACGACTGCAGTTAGTCCAACTTTGCCGAATTTTGGCTTAGAGTGTGGTCGATGAATCGCAAAGCTCGAAAAGTGGCCAATTGGAAGGGTTAAGGCCACTGATGGCGTCGTAGTCCCCGACACAATCTCGCGGCATGGTAAAAATTTGTTATTTATGAATGACATGTAGGCGTTCAACAGATTCACGTTTATTAATTGATTTGATTGATATGTGGGATTTAACGTCCACACACCACCATACAAATATGAAAGACGCCGTAGTGAAAGGCTTCGGAAATTTTGACCACCTGGGGTTCTTTAACGTGCACCCAAATCTGAGCACACGGGCCTACAACATTTCCGCCTCCATTCACCTTGAAACAGTTCGATGAGACACAGAAGGGGATTGATAAGGCAGAGATCACTGTTTCATTCAAACATGTAGAGGGTTGAATAAAGCAGAAGTATTTTCGACTAACGAGGCTTGATGGTTCGAAGAATGCAGCTTCGTCTTTAATGCCGTCACAGAAGACGGGGAGCAACTCATCTGCTGTCGGAGGAGTTTAGGTGCCTTCTTTGACGACGAGTTTGTGTACGGAGGGCCGAATGTGGTCGGTTGGTTGGCCGTAAAACGGGAAGAGTCCAAGTTTAGATCTTCCACATCTATTAACGGCGTCGTTACGCAATAAAAAATCCCATCCAAGTATGATGTCTTGTGAGCATGGTGAGAGAACAATAAACTCAAGAGTGTAGTGGTGCTTCGCGAAGATTAGTCGGACAGTACTGGCGGCTACAGCTCGAACAGCTTCCCCTTTGACTGTTGGCAAGGACATCATATCAAGAGGCGTAATCACTTTGCGGAGTTTGCGGCAAAGTATGGCGTCTATTACGGAAAGAGCAGCACCAGTATCAACTAGAGCCTATGCTCGAGTACCTTCTAGAAAAACTTCGACAATATCCGACGGCAATGTTCGAAGACTTGAGCCTTTCGACAGCACAGTTATTGTCTCCTAAACTGCGGCGGTTAGTTTCCCTCGTGTTCAGGAGCTGGCCGACAACGCATGGGTGACATGGAGCGACGACGGGGTGAAGGTGAGCGACCAGACACAGTTCGCTGATATTCCCGTGAAAACGTGCTTGACTGAGTTTCCGAATTTCCAAGACGAACTGGAGGAAGGTCCATGAAGCTGCTCCATGTTTGGGCGTCTGTGCATCTCGGCACGCGACGACGGCAGTATCCGGCGATATGACCAGAACAACTACACGCCAAATCGATGGGCTGGTTATCTCGCGTTCTCAGGGCATTTGCGGCGATTGCAGCAGCCCATGTGGCGGACGGGTGAGTTGAGGCTGAGGTGGACGACGGTTGAGGCTGAGGTGGACGACTGAGTCCGGGCTGAGGTATGCAGCCGTCCGTGGAACGGTGGGGGCTGGTGTAGCTGCCACCGCATTAGTGCCTCAATGTGTGTAAGAGGCACGGTGATGGGGTGTTGCAGAAAGGGCACCGGCTTAGCCTCAGAAATCTGCTCTTAAGCCACTTGTCGTAGCATGGGAGCCAGTTGTGGTGAGTGTCGCCGCAGGTGCTGCTGCGAGAGTTCCTGGCGTTGAGCAAAAGGCAGTAGAGAAATATGCCGAGCGACTTCCTCACACACGAAGTCTTGCAGTTGTGCGAGAAGGTTTGTCTGGTCAGCCATAACGTCCAGTGCAGTCACTGTTTGGATCGTCTGGGATGAACGTCGTGCCTGAGCTCGTTGACTCCTCAATACATCGTAGCTATCACACAAAGTCACCACTTCGTCCACAGTGCTAGGAGACTTCGCGAGGAGCATCTGCAAAACGTCATCATCGACGCCCTTCATAATGTGCTGTATCTCGGCACTCTCGCTCATGGAGGCATCGACGCGCGGGTAGAGATCGATGACATCTTCTATAAATGAGGTGAAAGTTTCACCTGGCTCCTGTAGCCGTGTGCGCCGACGTTGTTCGGCGCGTAGCTTCCGTAAAGCAGGGCGACCAAAAGCGGCAGATATCACCTCCCTGAAGGCGGACCAGTTCGGGAACTCCGTTTCGTGGTACGTTTACCACAGCTTCACCACGTTGGTGAGATAAAAATTGACAGTGCCCAACTTAGCAGCGTGATCCCGCTTGTTGGGTCCACTGACTTTTTCGTAGGACGACAGCCAGTCCTTGACATCCTGGTCTTCAGTGCCCGCAACAATCGGTGGGTCTCGCTGGTGAACGGGGCCCGAGTAAGTAGCGGCCGCGAGACGTACTCTCGGTCGGGCAGCGTAAACTTCTATGGCCAATGGCAGAGTGCGGGATCAGAGTTCCAGGGCGTAGGTGATGTGGTTACCCAGCACTATCCACCAAATACAAAAAGAGGTTTATTGGGCGAGTCTAATGAACAGGCACAAGATTGGTGATGGCCACAGGACGAGGAAGATGGTGGTGCTTGAGCGCCGATCTCGTGGTGCCTTTCTCTGTGATGATGCTTGTTGTTCCCTGGTGTTGTCATCATTCTTTTATTATAAGTTGTTTATAGTCACCATGGTTATAATTTCCCATAGTTTTAGTTACTGCGCCTGTAAACATTACAAGCAATTTGACATGGAGAGGAAGGACCTTGTGTTCACTAAATTCTTCTATGAACGAAATTGCTCCAGAAGTTTAAGGTGCTTTAGTGAAAACCAGGTCCAGTACGTTGGTACAACGGGTGAATTGCTGAAACACTTGGCACAAGTTATAGTCGAGAGTTACTTCGAAAAAAATTTATGAGATGCGACATGTGGTAGACAGACATACTAGACCAATCAATGAGCGGGTAATTAAAATCACCATAAAGGTATATTATATCAACTGAACACTTTGTATAGCTCACTCTATGTTATCACGCAGAACTTTGGGAAAGGAGGAATGCCCTTCCAGTGGGCGATACCATCATCCTATAGGTGTTTTAGCATAAGATGTTATGCATGTAGCACAAATTATCTTCTTGAAAGGGTTAGTATCAAGGTGAATATATGACACTATATTTTTACCGCTATTAACACGCCACCTCCTCTTCTATTGACAAGGTTACGTCGATATATCTTATAGTTATCCTTATCTGGAAACATGTGGGCTATTACAGAGAGCAAGCCAAACTCGGCTTCATCAATACGAATCGGCCTCCACTTGCCGCTTTTCGCGACGCTGTTTCCTGCGCGCTCATGTCTCGCAGCGCTTGCATGCTTAAAACTTTTGCGCAGCCGAAACGTGGTAATGGCGCCCAGTCCGCATTGTATGGTTGAACAACGTGGACAGTTTTCCGGCTAGCACAAGAGCATCCACGTTAATTAGCGTCCTGTTATTTCCTCTCTTTTTCTCTTGACTCCTACGAAGTGCATTGTGCACGCATGAACGTTGGTTGAGGGTTTTCCTACGTTCGCAGTCTTTAACAACCTTTGGTATAACCTTAGACAGCGCTAAACAAGGGCTAACCACTGTTCGCAAATACGGCCGACTCACTCTGAGCAGTGATGTTGGTGCGAGTCATGTTTAGCTAATCTCTTAATGCACGCGCTCACTGGCGGCCCTCGCTGATTGACACCGAGAGAGAAAAAAAATTGGCACTGTGGGTATGCATCGTAACGCAACTGCGAGGAAAAATACCTTACAATTAAATCCGGTGAAGTTGAAAGTGAAACACGGGGACAAATTCGTTCCCTCAGTTTGTGGGAATAGAGCTAGAGCTAGCACTCTCATGACAAGAAGCATAACATTTTTCTACGCATTTGCTGCACCTGAACTCCATTCACTTTAGTGGCAACTAAATTCAGGATAAAACAGTGCAACAGAGCGTTAGCGTCCGTTGTGTCGAATGCGAAACTCACATGTCGGCGTGCATCAGACGGAACGTAGTCTTGCTTCCCACGTCTCCATCGTAGCCTCGGCCCGGTGAACTGCCCAGCCGAATGACACAGTCTGAAGCGTCGACCTTGTCACCCATAGCAGAGTTGAGGAGGTGACCTGAATTCATCAGACGTATATCACGTCAATTATTTGATAATACGATTAACTCGAAGTAGGTATGGCACGCATATGTGTGCATGCATACCACGAAGTGTACTTGAAGGAGTTGAGCACGTGTATATTTGGTATTGACGCTTCATTAAGCGCTAAACTACTATTAAGTGCTAAGGCGGCTCACTGCGCTTTCACATTGTCTCTTGCGCATATGATGAATTATCATGCGACTCGTCAAGCTCTGAACATTTATTGATATAATTTATTCGACAAAAAAACCTAAATGTATTTTTTTGAAGGAAGAGGCACCGCATGCGCAAACAAGTCGCATGTGAAACGTCTTCGTTTGAGTGAATTTAGGCCAATCAAAATTATTAGCACAGCCAGCTCATCATCAGAAAAATGCATTTAATAGAAGTTTTGGGAACTCGGCTTCAGGTCTGTGGACAACTTTTTTTAGAAAGTCTACATCAACACATTATTTTTGCAAGAAATTATTCTTATATACTTAAGAAAGAAACCAGCCACCTCAAATGTTCAGAACTAACGAAGGCGCATTTGTACAGAAAGTATTAGACGTTTGTATGTGCCCTCTTCGATCAGCATGAAAGCCCCCTTCTTCCGAAGTAATCAAGAGGAGGCTGAACACTCTGCTTCAAGCCTGAGCACTGAGCCAATCGAAGCACTTGTATTCTGCTGGGTGTTTTTTGTCCCTTTTGATTCCGAAACTAATTGATGTAGCAATACTAGTTCAATTCTGATTTTTATATAGCCCTGACCAGAAGATATAGTGGTATGTGGCAATGAAAGTGGGCACTCTGAGTGGTCAGGGAAACAGGGCTCTATAGTTGTTTCAATGCAATATCTTTGTCCTGAGAAAACTCGCGCATCTTGCTTCAGAGTTATATGCGGACATTCAAGCCGAAAAAAATATCTGGACTATTCTATTCAAATCTAATTTAGGAGTAAGATGATCAACTAAGCGCCGCCATCTAACCACACGCTATCAATCACACGCTATTTAACGGCTGCCAACAAGTGCTAGTTAGTTTTGAAATGATCATCGACTTTTCATGTGATTAGGAATAATGTGTTCTATTTGAGTGACAAACCAGTAAGTATTTTGAGATACTGTCTCGACTGAAATGAAATGGAAGATAGTAAGGATTATTATTTAAAAGATCTGCGTATAACAAAGTTTCTTAAAACTTTTGAACTTTATCACAATCGGTAGGGCTTCATTCCACGTTACTTCATAGCTTCAGAAAAGGCCGATAAATGTTTGTGAGTCATTAATTTGTACAGTCCGCCTGGGTGACTCAATGCCTAGGGGGCTCAGCTGTTGACCTGAAGGTCCCGGGTTGGATCCCGGCTGCTGCGGTCGCAATTCGATGAGGGCAAAATGGTAGAGACCTGTGTACTGCATGATATCAGTGCACGTCAGAGAACTCCAGATGAAGAAAATTTTCAGCTTGCACCACTGCAACGTCTCTCATAATCATATGTTGTTTTTGGGACTCAATGTCCCACGTAATATATAAATCAATAACTAATTTGGGCATAATTACGTTTCTGCACCTGCTTGCATCTTCACGTAGAAAGCACCGTCACAATATTATAATTATGAAAGCGTGAGTTCCTGCTAACAAAGCAAAAACTGGAGAAACAATCAAACACGTTATTCGCAAGTGAGACTAGGTCAAGATATAAAACAGCAGAAATACACATACAGAAAGACGCACCAGCTAATCCCAAGTACTTTGCGAGTATGAAATTAAGGCAGAACGCAAAACAATGAATTCAACCTGAATTAAACATTGCATTCCTCGACAATGCTTGAGTTTTTTATCCTACATTTGGTATCTTGTACGCTATGCCTTATTTTACGACCATGGACCCGATCCCCAGTAAAGCAGCATAGTTTGTGAATTTCAAGTTTACGGAAGGTACTATGAATATTTTCACTGTGCAGGTTCTCAAGAGGAAATCGGGAAAAAAGTGATATCTCCATAAATTAGTGGAATAATTGAGGCGAAATGTTTAACAGAACGCCTAGGTTAAGTTAAAGATATAATTAGAAAATCTTGCATTGACCCAGTCAAAGAGCAGCTTTTTATATAGAAGCGTTTCTGTACACGAAGCATGCGAAAAAACGGCGCACTTGTACACTCACCGGAATAACCTACAAGGGCGCACGTGCCGCAGCTAAAATTCCGCTGACTGTGCTCGTCGCTCTCTCCTAGGAAGTGCGAGGCAGAATCAGCACCTACGGCACACAGGATCGACACATGTTGCAGACCACACTCACAGGTGATGCATAAATGGTGTATATGCGCTTCATTTCAGCAAGCATGCATCATCACCTGGCGCAACCTTCAATTCTATATTACGAACTTTCATTGCGTGCATGAAAAATGAGGACAAGCAGAAAAGAGGCACAAACACAAGGAGGCTGGTACCTTCTTTTGGCGTCTTCCTGTCTCTTGTAGGCACTACGAAAATTCGTAAATAATTCATAAAAACTTGCCCAGCTATCATATTTACTGCGCAACTTTTACATACTGTTCCGCAGTTCAAAGGTGGTGATTCCTCCTCGACGTAAATCGTTGGACAGGGTTTGGACGATGCCCTTTCATTGTTTCATTGGGGGGGGGGGGGGAGTTTTGAGCGAAACAAGCAACAAGCCAACTATCGTCTTGCAGGTGCGAAAACAATGGCGGAGCGCACACGTTCAGCTTCCATTTTTTAAACCCGAATGCGCGAGCGTTGATTGTGTACTCAATAAGTGGCGTTTAACAGAGCACAGCGGCGAAATGAACGACGATGCGTGGAGGCCGGTAACAAACAGCACTCTGCAGCTGTCATCTGCTAGGCTGTTCCAGGAACCGGACACCAGCAGGGTGCACGGAACAGGCGCTTGCTGACCTGGCAGCAGACACTCCCGCTTTTAGGTTTAAAAATGGGTGGCTGTACATTAGAACTTCATTCTGGGCACATAAAAAATATCGGGGAGTTAAGCAATAAAAAGCAAAACACCTTTCCCACAAAGGCGAAGCAATGAACGCGAAAACAACAAATTAGGAGGTCACACGCAGAATGGAAAGCAGTAGAAACGTGGCCCGCGTTTATCACGTACAAATGACGCAAGAAACGTGCTCACAGCTACAGTTGAACGCGAATAGGCGTCTCAGTTGTTACTTCGCTGCGTCTGCAAAGCGCGCCCTTTTCGGAAACGGAGGCTCTGCAACGAGTGAAGTGAGCTTTGTGCGCCCAGTAACAACAAAAGGATTGTTTCAGTGAAAGCCCAAGGCCAGCCAAGACGTACGATCCTACCCACCGCAAGATAAGGGTGCGTGAGCGAGCGTCCATCTTTCACCTCTCCGCAGGGTGAGGAACGCGTGGGAGATGAGAGCGCGCGCCTCCGCGTCTTGACGATGTGACGACGCGTGCTCATTGCGTCATGTTGCTGGTAATGCTGAAAACAAGACAGTTCCCCCCGAGTTGCCCGCCAAGAGTGGTAAGTGGTAGATATAAAGAGCTCGCCATTTGAACGTGAAAGAGGTGGTTCTCGGTGGCATAGTGGTTAACGCCTCATGTTCACGAACCAGAGGTCCCTCGTTTGATTCCGCGCGCCAGTCTTTTCCTCGACTACGTTCCTCTTTTGCATTCTCATAAATAAATAATATATATATATATATATATATATATATATATATATATATATATATATATATATATGCGCAGACATATATGGTGAGTGACACCGACGCTCGGCGGCAAAATTCAGCGGAGAGTGTCCATCAAATATTAATAATAATAATGATGCTCAAGCCTGAGGTCATTATCTGTCGCTACATGAGGCAGCTAAATCGCGTTATGTGCGCGACAATGAGAGTGACAGAGCAAGCAGGTGGCGAGCGTGCAGGGCATGCTCCTGCGGCAGCGGCACCATCTGGTTGCCAGGTAGAGCCCAGCAACGTGCGCAGTGATTCATACCATGACATGTGCTGCTGGCGCGACAGAGGAACTGGCGCACTCAGCTATGCAGCAGCGAAGGCCCTTATCCTGAAAGTTGATACGCTGCCGTCCGTTAGCCGGCAGCGTCAACAAGGTGACCCAATACGGTAATCTGACGAAGACCGAAGTGGCACTTGGAGAAATTGAGCTGCAGGCCGGCCCGTCGAAATATGGATTGAATGATCGAAAGGCGTTCAAGGTGTGTTGCAAAGGTAGGTTAGAAAATGATCATGTCGTCCAGGTAACACAAACATGTCGACCATTTAAATCCTTGTAGGAGCGTGTCCATCATTCTCTCGAAGGTCGCTGAAGCGTTGCAGAGCCCGAATGGCATGACCTTGAATTGGTAAAGACCGTCAAGAGTAACGAAGGCGGTTGTTTTTCAGTCCATGTCATCTACAGCAATTAGCATGTAGCCAGATAAGAGGTCGAGAGATGAAAAGAAGGTGGCGCCATAGAGGCAATCAAGGGCATCGTCAATGCGTGGTAGAGGGTACACGTCTTTTTTGGTAAGTTTGTTGAGGTGGCGCTAATCAACGCAGAAACGCCATGAGCTGTCTTTCTTTCTTACTAATACTACGGGAGATGCCCGAGGGCTCTTTTCTGGTTCGATTACGTTTTTTGTAAGCATTTTGGCCACTTCTTTCTGAATCACTTCTCGCTCGGATGCTGACACGCGCTACGTCCAACGGTGAATGGGCGCAGAGTCACCAGTGTTGATTCGGTGAGTGACAATTTTAGTCTGGCCCAAGGAACGATCGTCGGTGTCGAAAATGTCACTGTATGAGGCCAAAACTTGGCAGAGAGCTTCGGCCTGGTGAGGCGATAGCTCCGATCCAATCATGTTTCGAAAAATACCATCGTCTCAGCTGGGCGACCGTGAGATTGCGCTTCGATCAAGAACAGATACAGCGACAACGCTGACATCGTCCTCTGTTAGGGCAGTTAGCTGGGCTAGAGACATCTGGCAGGGCAACACTTGAGGGGTGAAACCAAAGTTAAGGAGCGGAAGTAACACACAGTTATCGGCTATGGTCACGAAGGTATAGGGCACAGTAACACTGCGCGTCAGCCGAACGTCAGTAATTGGCGTAACGATATCATCACCGTCAGGAACCGCAGGGGTCGATGACAAAGACACGTACGTGACGGCTCGAGGTGGCAGGCGAACGAAAGTGGTCGGGCTCAAGCGGCTGGTGGGCTATGCAGAGTAGTCGGCAAAGATTGGTAGATCAAGGCTGAGGGTACCAGACGAACAATCAATTAAGGCCGAGTGTGCCGAAAGGAAATCAATGCCAAGTATGAGGTCATGAGGGCAGCAGGCTAGCACGGCAACAAGGACCACGGCGTGACGACCGGCAATGCTGACACGAGCAGTGCACATTCCGATTACTGGTACAGTACCGCCATCGGCAACACGGATTGCCTGCGTCGTAGATGGCGTCATAATCTTTTGTAGGCGGCAGCGCAGAAAAGCGCTCATAATAGACAGGTGCGCACCTGTGTCAATGAGGGCGGTCACAGGAGCTTGGTCTATTTGTACTTCAAGCAGGCTATGGTGCGTGGGAAGCGTCTGTAGAGGATTTTTGGCCGTCATCGGGATTGCAGCTTCACCTCTATAAGCTGCAATATCTAGTTTTTCTGCTGCGGTCGTCCAGAGAAGCTGAGCGAGGAAAAGCGCCGAGGTGGCGGAGAGCGGGATATGCGACGTAGCGGCGACGGGGAGCGAGAGCTGCGGCGACAGGACGAAGGGGCATCAGGGTAGCGGCGACCGGGCAAAGGGGCGTCAGTTGAAGGCTCGTAAGATGACGACAAATAAAAATTAAAGGGTGCGGCGACTGAACGTCGAGGGGTCGTCGGATGCACGAGCACCGAGGTAGAGAAAGTCTGACGTGGTTGGTTTGACCAACGGCGGCGGCAATAGCGAGAAACGTGCCCAGGCTGGTGGCAGGAAAAACAAATAGGCCGGTCGTCGGGTGTTCATCATTCCGAAGGGTTACGGAAGAGCATTGTTGGAGGTGAACGGCGAGCGTGTCCTCGGGAGTAAGACGGAACTATAGGGCGAGTCAAGGGACATGCTGATGGAAGGCCGAGGTTCGTAAACTCCTGCCTCACCAGAGCTTGTATTAACGCCACTTACGGCTGTTGTTGGTCAGAGGCGTGCGTTGCGAAAACGGGTGGCTGAAGAGGAGCCGGACAGGCGGCTTCGATTTCCCGACGAACAATGCGTGTGACGTTGTCATACGTGGAGGACTGGCGGGCGGCTTCACACGATGAGGTTGCGGCCATGCTGGGCAGCCGGGTGAATCGCTGAGTAATACGGCGGCTCTTGGCTTCTTCGAACCGCCGGCACTCATTAATGATGGCGTCGATGGTAGCAACGTTGTTGTAAACTAGAAGATTAAATGCGTCGTCTGATATGCCTTTCACCACATGGGCCACTTTCTCAGACTCACTCATGTGCTCGTCAATCTGGCGGCATAAGGCGATGACGTCGTGAATGTACGTGACGTACGACTCCGTCGACGTCTGTGCACGAGCCGCCAGTTGATTCCGCGCTGCGATCTGCCGCCCAACGGTGTCGCCAAAAAGGTTGCGGATCTTCTCTTTAAAGGAGTCCCAGTTTGTAATCTCTGCTTCGTGCGTCTCGAACCACACGCGCGATGGGCCATCGAGGTAAAAAAGCACATTGGCAAGCATGAGAGTCAATTCCCACCTATAGATTGCGCTGACCCGTTCGTACCGGTTGATCCATTTGTCGACGTCAACGCCATCCTGACCGGAAAATACACCTGGATCACGAGCAGGAGGTAGAACGACGTATGTAGAAGTCACGGAAGGGGCAGGTGGTGAAGACGATGGTTGTTCAACCTGTGACATGGTTGGACCTATGATGATGCGGCCGTTGCGGCGCTTCGTGATTGAGACGGGGAAGTACCCCGCACCTCCACCACAAAGATTTTACGTAAAAATGACACGAGGCGTGTCTATTTAAAATCCATATTCAAAGTGATGCGTATGGCGTCGACTAAGATTGAAGACAGCAGGCACAACCGACAGCCCACTTCCTCGTTGTCGTCTTCTGACCGCTGATATGTCAGCTACGTAGCAATATGCTTAAGAAGATGATGAAATTGGTGTGCCCTTGTTGCAGCAGTGGAGCTGCCCAACATTGAATTCCATATGCAGATCGGCCGGATCGCGAACGGAGCGCGTAGATGCGAGTGGGAACACCTGCCCCTCGATGGG